AAAAAAAAAAAAAAAACCTAAACAACCCAAAACCATCATCACACGATATCACAAAGTTTGAACCAAAATAGAGGGTAATTTTGATAATCAAACACCAAGAGAATCCCTAGGTACGATATTACATAAAACCCAGTAGAAAACACCATTTTAGATACCAGCCAGTCGGATTCACTATTTATTTTTTCTAGCTGGTATACGCAAATTATTCACTAATTATACACGATTATAAATATATTATACAATATTATACATCCGTCAGCTATTTTTTTTCGTTTAAGCGGTTGAACTGATAGCTATTTAGGTTAATTCTTCTTTTGAAATTTTTTAGTATTCAGCTGGTGGTAACTGCTCATAGGTCTGGGAAATGAAGAACTCATAGACAAACCCAGCAAGCCCACCACCAATAATAGGACCAGCCCAATAAACCCAATGGTTATTCCGACTCCAGCCCACAACAGCTGGGCCAAAAGAAACTGCTGGGTTCATTGAGGCCCCATCAAAAGCCCCACCAGCTAAAATATTGGCCCCAACAATGAAACCAATAGCAATTGGTGCAATTGTGCCCAAACTCCCCTTTTTTGGGTCGATTGCTGTGGCATAGACTGTGTAGACAAGCCCAAATGTCATCACTATCTCGAATACAAGTGCATTCCAAATTTTAGCACCTATCTCCTGCATAATTTTTAAAGAGAAATTAACTTAAATTTTTCCGTTCAAAAAAATAGCCGACAGATGTATAATTAGTTTCTCTTTCTGTTGTTCTTTGTCATGATTGCTGTGATTTTATTTTTATTAAGCCGAGGGTCACAAGGTAGGAGTAAGGTCTGCATACAAACTACTCTCTCCAGACTCCACTTATGGAAATACACTGGGGGGAAGAAATTCAAAAATAGCCAGATTTACAAGTGATCATTCAAAAATAGCCACAGTTTCAAAAGTCATCGAAATTTAGCCAGTTTTCATGTAAAGATAAATCTGAATGAAACACTGTTCAAAATCCGGAAAATACTCCAGCATAATATACTGGAATTCCGGTATAATATACTGGAACTCCAATATATTATACTGGAGCCAGCAAAGTATACCGGTCCAGTATAATATGCTGGAAGTTCACACACATGTGCACCGAACTTCAGTATATTATGCTGGACCAGTCTCTGTTGCATGCAACAAAATAGTGACTATTTTTCAATGACTTGACAAACACCGGCTATTTTTGAATGACCAGTCCGAAAACTGGCTAGCCCGTGTTATTTTCACTACACTGGATATGTTATTGTTGTAGTTTATAATATATGTATATTGGATAGAGATTGTAAATACTTTTAGCGGAGCAGCCAAATGTATAACTTCTCCTAAATTGAAACGTTAAAATAGTACTAATACGAGTATTTTGCATAATGTCTACAAGATTTTGGTTTAGTGGTTCACCTTGAGGTGTTAAACTCATTGAAGTATTATATGTGTTGCGACTAATTTGAAAGAATTTAACTGATATATAATGATAATATAAATAATTTTATACTATTAGTATATTCTAACATGTTAACAGGTAATTTGCCTTATTTTACAGGTAGAGACAGAGTCAGGATTTTAACTTTATGGGCTCTGAATTTAGAACGACGACTTGAAACGCTAATGATCACTGGGTTCTAAATCTAATATATATTTGTACATATTATAAGTTTTTTAACACGAGTAAAAGCTATTGGATTCGACCGAACTCGTATTTCGACTTTTGCCTCCGCCTCAGTTTACGGGCATTTCGACTTTTGCCTCCGCCTCAGTTTACGGGTTTCTAATCCAATTTTTGATAGACACGATTTACCTATAATATCTCTTAGCTAGGTAACCTAATAAGGTAAAATTTCTTTTAAGCTGTTAGTGTATAAAAGTTAAAATTAGATGGATTTAATTCATGTACACTAACAATATAAGATTTTTTTTTCCTTTTAAAAGTGTGCTTTAGCCTGTTGTTGCAATCCAACTTATTTTCAAGTCAATAATGCAAATCTTATGGATGGTTATCTGTCAAATTTCTTAGGTAATTAATTTGATAGTGTAAAAAATCTTTTATTTTCACGGTAAAAAAGGATTCAAACTCCACTTAATATCGAGCAATATAATCTATGATAAAGTCTAAAAAAACATTATTTATTTAGTGGCAAACATTATTCTTACCAAACCACCAGTGGCAAACTTGAGAAGAAAGCAAGCAACAACAGAGCCAAGAAGCTGAGCAATCCAATACAAAATTCCACGTAATAGGCTAATATTTCCACCAACAAACGCACCAAATGTGACAGCAGGGTTAACATGTCCACCGGAGATATTAGCTCCAACTGAAACCACCACGAACAGAGCGAAAGCATGAGCAATGGCGGCGGCGATAAGGCCGGCCGGGGTGTTAGCTCCACCATCAGTAAGTTTGCTGAATGCAACACCTGACCCTGAACCTGCAAATACGAAAATTAGGGTTGAGATGAACTCGGCTAACGCCGCCTTTAATGCGTCGGAGTGGGTGGCCTCCTCCGGCCTTCCGACGGCTATACGGCTGAATGGCATCGTCGGAAAATCAAGATTAAGTGTTCAAGAAATGTAAGAGAGTAAGAAAATGAAGAAAGAGATGAAGAGGGTTTTAGAAAAACTATACTGTTCTCCACATATCATGCAACGTTGCTACTTATAGATGCTAAGATTTGGTGGTTTTTGGTATAGCCGGTTTCCGGTAAAAACAAATGACGATTTAAAAAGTATTTCTTGATATAAAGAATTAGTACTTCCTTTGTGAATAAATAAATAAAAATTTTAAAACTCGTGGTTTTATATAAGCCATAACATTTGCATTATTGTAATTTTTTGAAATTTATAGTGTTAAGTATGCCAAGAATATTTGTGTGGCTATAAAAAATTTCACGTTGAGGGTAGAATTAGAAATTTATGTTAAACTATTTTCAAATTTTAAAATAAATCATTCTTTTTGAAACAGACAAAAAAGAAAAAATATATAGATTTGCATAAACTAGAATAGAGGAAATAGTAGTATCAATACCATTTAGCACAATGTTTTTACCTTTTAAATTTGAGATAAAACAGAATTTTCTTCTCATTAAAAATCATATTTAAATCTAGAATGTAAAAAAAAAACCGACAATTTCTACAAGTTCCCTTCATAAAAAAAGCCTAAATCACTAAACTATGTCTAGAAAATTGCAGTGTCACTAAACTAGTTGATGTGCCTTTCTTTTTCTAACACTTGCAACAAGTTGGATTTGTTTTCGTTTTAGTTCTATAATTCATAATTCTTCGTTGAATTAACTCCCCCAATATGTAAATGACAGCAATTTTGTATTGGACTATAATCCATAATGATGGAGAAGCGAATATTTGCTCAAAGAATACTACTACATTTTTGTGTACTATTTATTTTTAATTTCTAGATAACTTAAAGTCTTACTTTTATTTTCTAATAACTTGTCTATTATAGAAAACGGCAATAACTATTCATCGAGCTAAGCAAGTGATGGATATAGGGTCTAGTGCCATTAATACGTGTCCATGTTGGATGCTATCGATTATTATTTAACTAGTGATTATAACTCGCGCTTCGCGCGAGAAGATATTAAAATATTTTTGCTAACTTTTATTAAAAGGTATTTATCTTTCACTAAACTGGTAAATGACCTTGTACAACACGTAACATACCATTGCATATATAATTTTTTTAAATACACTTTTACCTTCAATATTATTTAAAATGTGATCTTTACGCTTTAAGTGAAAGCCAAAACTTCAAATAAAGGACCTATAGCTTCAAGCTAAATAAAACGCTCCTCCATCTTAACGACCCCAATACAAGCATCTATCGAGTAATTAACTATATTTAACTCGTCAAGATTGAAGTTATATAAATATACTCTTCTATCATACAAAAAGAAAACTTGATGAGATCTTTAAACACTTGCAAGTGAAAGCCAAAACGTCGAATAACCTATAGCTTCATCTAAATAAAATGCTTCTCCGTCTTAATGAACTCATACAAGTATCTATCAAGCAAGTAACAATATTTAACCTGTTAAAATTAAAGTTATGTAGATATACTCTTTTATCTTACAAACAGAATAATTCATGAGATCTTTAAACATTCAAGTGAAAGACAAAACTTCATAGATATTAAAGTTCCATAGTATCAGATACTTGTATATGCTCCTGCTACAATTTTTCATGGAGCCAACATACATCCAAGTCAATGATTCAACAGATAATAAAGACTCCATCTTCACATGATCTAAAATTTTAAAAATATGCTTCATTCAAGGCACATTCATACTATGCACAAGAACGGTGTACCGCAACGCTCCCAAATTTATATGCTTTCAGTAGTTATTAAACTCAAGAAAACTTATTAAATTTAAGTTAACATTTGGAATAGAAATCACTGAAATTTATACTCTCATAGGCAGCATACTTCTCAATCTGAAAGTTCACTTTTATGGAAAATTCAGCATTTTGTAGTCCATTAGTGACCTTGAATGCCTTGGAGTATACGTTAATCAATTCCTGGGAAGCAACAAAGATTAACTCCGAAAGGTTGAGGCCAATTGATTTCTTTAACAACTCATAGTTTTATAAATAGTACATGAAAAATAAAGAGACGAAGAAATTCACATTAACCAATTAATTAAGTTTTAAGTTGCCAACATGTCTAACCACTAAACTGAATCATTAGAATCGTGCATAATTAATCAACAAACATATCTCTACCACTGATTTTAGCCTAACTATCGGATAGATATGGAATTTTTTTTTTATAATAGGTGCAAACCTGGGTTGAAAGTTGTCCAGGACCATCTCCATCACTAAAAATTGGAACACTGTTAATGTCTATTGCTCATCATTTTCAAACTCTTTCATAAAATTGTATCTTAAGAGCCTTCCACCAATTTTAAGTGTATCTACAAAGCGAAGTCCATTAAGATTACCAGAAATCCAATAATAACAAACTCGAGAGAAAAACAGTTAACAAAGAGAAACCTCCAAGTTTTTTTTTGTTTTTTTTTTTGTTGCTGTAGATGAAAATTCTAGTGCATTCTTGTTGTCAGTATTCAATAGTTCGTATCTTAGTCTGAAAAGACAAAAATATCATCTTGACCTCACTACACATCCATAACAAATTTGATTGGAACATTCAATTAAGAGAACTCATACTAATGAGTCATAGTCATTGCAAATACTGAGATCCACATCAATCTTGTACTTGGTTGTTCTCTCAAAAAGAATTGTAGAGTGTAAAGGGTGTCTCTAGATTTGAATTGCTCGTATGGCAAGCTTTGTAAGTTGCATTCCAAGATGAAGATAGAGAAGTGATCCATAAAAAAACTCTGATTACCAACTAACAGAAAATGAAATACATAACCTGTACTTGGTAACAAAATCCCAAAAGTGAATATCTAAAAAAAAAAAAATTCAAAAGTTACAAGTAATCAATAAATGTTTAGTTCCCACAAATTTAGGGTATATGCATAAAACCATATAAGAATGAAATTTATGTATAGTCCATTGAAGATGAGTTGAAGATGATTAATTGCCCATTTTAGGTTAATTAAGTCGTCTCCCGAAGTGGGCAACGTAAAGATGCGCAGTCAATTGATACAATTAGCCTAAAATCAAGTAGGAATTAGAGAATTTTTGATATAGAGATACATGAGATACCAATCTAAACATGAAAGAGAACAAAAAGACAATAAAATCTCAAAGACAGAGAGGAGAGATATACCTCAGGGGATTGGGAGAAAGAAGAAGATGGAACACAAAGGAAGGAACATATAGGGAATTCATGGAGGGGGAAGAAGAAGCGAAATGGAATAAGTGTAAGTAAAGACTTTTGCTGGAGAATTTTGGACTATCAAATAACACTTGTGGCTTTTGTTGGTGACTATTGGACTCTTCAGTAACAGTTGTTTCTCTTTTGATTAGAGGTGCCTTTTCGGGTAATTGAACCCTAAAATAGAAATAAAAGCCTAAAAATTTGAGAAGTTAGATAAATGTAATTCCTGTGCAATGACACATGCCACATCACATTTCAAAACCCCTCCTTTATAATTATATATAGATTAGCATCATAAATTGGACCAAAAGCATAATGAAAAACCTTAAGTATAATTATACATAGTACAACTGTCATTATCGTTTTAGTAAACATTTGTTGGAAGGTCATATGAAATTTCATCATATATAATTTTGGGCAAAATATAAAATTAGCTGGTTAGGCATAACTAATTATATTTACTAGTCAAAAAATGTATAATATATATATATATATATATATATATATATATATATATATATATATATATACGAAGATATACTTTTTATCAGTTATTAATTTTTATTGTGGCTAAAAATATATATTTCTAGCTCTATTATTTTTAAATAATGGTTTGTCCAAGTTCTTTTTTCCTTTTAAAATATCTTTGATAGTGGTATGCGGAATCTTGGAGAGAATGAACAGATGTTATACGTAGCATCAGATAAGCACAAAGACTTGATTATTGTATTCCTGCTTCCAATTTTTTTATTTAATGATAGGTATTTTATTATCGAGTCTTTTTAACAAGCCAATAATTATCAAAAAAATGTCTTATCCAACTTTAACATCAATAAGAGCAACAAGGGCACGTTCTAGTTTCATTCTTATCTTTTTTTCATCCGACATTCAGTACTTTCTTTGAAGCTGATTAATTGAATTCGTTTTAGAAAATTTTACTTTGGAGGTAAAACGCTCTTATCAAAGACAATTTTATTTTTAGGACTCAAACATGAAATCTCTCGTTAAGAATAAAAGTGTAACGATCCGGTCGGTCGTTTTGAGAGTTGTAGCCACGTTCCCCTATTTACTGCTCATTTTGTGCTTTATAGCTGTTATGTGACTTGTCGGGATAGTCGATTCGGTTCCGTAGAGATTTCGGAATGAATTGAAACACTTAGTCTCAAGGTTGGAGCTTAAATTGAAAAGGTTGACCGGATGTTGACTTGAGTGTAAACGACTCCAGAATGGAGTTTTGACGGCTCTGTTAGCTCCATTGGGTGATTTTGGACTTAGGAACGTATCCGGATAGTGCTTTTGAGATACGTTGTTGAATAAGGCTTGAAATGGCGAAAATTTATAATTTGAAAATTTGACCGAGAGTGGACTTTGTGGATATCGGGATCGGACTGGAGTTCCGGGGGTTGGAGTAGGTCAGTGGTGTCATTTTTGTGACTTGTGTGAAAAATTTAGGGTCAATCGGACGTGATTTGATAGGTTTCGGTGTCGTTTGCAGGAGTTGGAATTCCCTTAGTTTCATTATACTTGAATTAGGGTGTGATTCGTGTTTTTGATGTTATTTGATGTGATTTGAAGGCTCGACTAAGTTCGTATCGTGTTTTGGGACTTGTTGGTATATTTGGTTAAGGTTCGGGGGCCTCGGGTGGAGTTCGGATAGTTTTCGGATCAAGTTTGGAGTTAAAAAGGGTGTTGTAGCTGAAGCCTACTGATGTAATCGCACCTGCGGAGCTTTGGTCGC